TATATATATATATAAATAAGAGAAGAGTTTGTCATGATAAATGATATAATATTTATTTTAAATCTTTATTACAGAATGAACTTATACCCAGAAGCACCGCCTAAGATCGATTGGACATTCTATAAGAAGAATATTGCAGTGCCTGATTTTGTGGATAAGTTTCAGAAGGAATATGATGCCTATTCTGTACCATATCCGGCGGATAAATATACTTCTCTTATTGATACTAAAGAAAAGGAACTGGTAATATACCAATTTTTAATATAAGAATGTCTCACATTTGCTGAATATTTGTTCTAATATAATATGAATGTATTATAGCTTGTTAAAATAGAGGAATTTGTGGAACAATCTAATAATAACATCAGCAATGCTCAGAAAGAGATCAAAAAGATAAAGAGCCTGTTACCATTCTCCGAAATGACAATGGAAGATTTCCGAGATATATATCCAGAAGAAGCTTTAGATCCAATTAACAAACCAACAATATGGCCGCACACACCTGATGTACAACCCGAGAATGATCCAGGAATGCCAAAAGGTCATTAATACTATAATGTGCTTAAAACAGCTAATATATGGAATGTAGTCCTAATTTACTTCTAGAACATGATTCCAGATATATTTGATTTGTAAAAGAAATTGTTGCTTATCCTTGTTATCACTGCATATATTTGGAAGTAAATTGATGCATTCGGTAAACCATTTTTTTATAACACTGCTTGTATACATATGTAAGTATAAAATGCAAGAGTGTCGTGTGCGTGATCAGTAAGAAAGGAGAGATATTTACTTAATTTCGGAAACTTGTTCAAAATATTCTTATTAAATTTAAGTTACTATTTAATAAATGCATATCGTATATCCATATATTATATATAACGTAGATTGAAATTTTTTATTAATTAAAGCTGAAGAATTTGTTGATGAACGCGAATAGGATAATTGGAAGTAATTATAGATCAGTGTACCTATTTTATGATTTCGATAAGTTAATATCTACCTGTTGTTTCACAGTACTATATCACATAATAACGGTTTTATTTGCACATGCATACTTTAATATTAACCTTCCGTTGATATTGCTGAATTTTAGCATTTTTCGGACAATCGGGATCATTAAGGGGCAATGCATGTACGAAAATTTGAAAAAAAACGTCTAGGGCTTAAATTAAATATCAGCAGAGCTTCCGAGTTATTTCACATCTCATGTTGTGAGAAAATCACTGAAAGAGGATTGGAGGCACTGTATGGAATGTTCAATCAGAAGAAATTGATTGTTACAAATCACAACAAATCTGCATCAGAGCTAACTTGTATGATGTTAGAAGATTGTATGTCTGGCTTGACTTGTGAGAATCTGTGGAAATATGAAAAAGTAATGTTAATTGAGAGTCGCTTTTAGTACGATTACAATTTGCAGTAAATATTTCACAGAGAGACTCACTTCTATTTCTCTTATATGCATTATATACTATTTGAATAATTTCAACTATGCCGTAAATCAACTGTCACTACTTGAATATTAAAGTAAATAAAACATCAGGTAGTATGAAGTAACAAAAGTAGGTGGTAAAAGTAAGTTACTTCAACATATTAACTTCTTTCCAATTAATTTTACATTGGACGTTTCTTCATAAAATGTAATTCAGCTGAATGCATAATACGATGTATCATATCATTTTCATTATTCGCAATGCAGCTACACTCTCACACAGCGTCTGTAACGAATGAGGAAGCTCAAGAAATGTCAACATAAGAGAGCGACACTGCCGTTTGATGTAAGGACTTCAATGTGTCAGACTTTGTCAGTAAGAATGGATAACACAACAACAACTGACCAATAGTGGGTAAATTAAATTTCTTGAGGTCGGTAAGTTAATAGGGTCGATATATGGGGGTGATGATAAGTTACCGGCGTCGATTAGTTACCATGGACGATAAGTTTTTGGGTGTCGTTTAATTATCAAAGTCGATATGCTTCCGGGGATCGGTTAGTTACCAAGGTCGCTAAGTTTCCGGGGGCGGGAAGTCTCCTTATAGTGCATCATTGAGGCAGAGTGAGATTCAAAGATTCCAATTTTTGGATAGATTCAAATAAATATGGTACTTCCGCATTATCCAATGCAAATAATTTATACCATATTCTTGAAGCAATCGATGTCATTAGATTTGCATTACGAAGGTCTGAGTAACCTGTGTAATCTCATAAATGTCATGTGGCTTAACATAAAGTATGACAAAAATATCTATGACTAGGACTTTGAAAAAATATCAGCAGAGCTTCCGGAATATTTTGGCATCTCAGGCTAAAAAATTACTGTGAGAGGATTGGAGAGGCACTGTATAGAATGTTCAATCAGAAGAAATTGATTATTACAAATCACAACAAATCTGCTGCGTTTGAGCTAACTTGTATGATGTTAGAAGATTGTATGCCTGGCTTAATTTGTAAGATTCTTGAATCCTTGGAAATATCAAAAGAGTTATGTTAATAAAGAGTCACCTCTAATAAGATTATAGTTTGTAGTAAACATTTCACAGAAAGACTCACCTCTGGATATTTATTACATCCTATTTGTTGTACATTATCAACTACATTGCAAATTATCATATCCCGAATATTAATAGCAAATAAAACATTATGTAGTAAAAAGTAACAGTTTGTTTGAAGATATTAACTTCTTATCAATTTATTTTTTTCTCGGCGTTCCTTCATAAAATGTAATTCAGCTTTATTTGTAATACCATATATTTTAATATTTTCATTGTTATTAATAAGTTTAACATGTCTGCAACAAAGATGATATTTCTTCCAAATGTGTTTCCAACTTATTTTCTTCTTGACGTTTTCTCTTTTTATAGATAAGCACATATGTCGCTTTACAGCTCTCTTCAGATCAAGAACTGTCGTATCATGTGGTGGAACCTAAAATGAAACAAAAATTAAATAATTAGGACGATATATTCTAATAGACCAACATATGATTGACAAATTATTTTAATATCACAACCATTACCACTACTGCAAGTTTTGGCAATTCTCCATGATTTAAGAATAAAGTTGGAGTTTGTCCTTGTGCAAATGTAATTCACAAATTGTGATGTGTGATGTCAAAGTTCTTTTATCATAACAACTGAGAATAATCCAAAGCGAAGTGCATCAATAACATTGTCAATTGCTACCTTAGTCAGCCCTAACAATTCTTGATGAATAAGTTGTGCCTAGTTTCAGACATTGCTTTATCAGGATACAATTCTTGTCAAGTATCTCTTAATACATCTTTTAATTAAGAGTTTTCCACAACATTAGACGGTATACGATGCTTATATATTTATCTCTGTCTCCCAGGTAAAAGTGGTAAGTAAATTTGAGGTATGTTAACAAAGATATTCACTGTCTTTTAAGAAGTCTTTTAAGATACGGTTTCGCATTTCATTAATAGAGGGTGCACAGATGTTAAGTTCGGTTTTTCCGATTTTCTGAACAGTTTGGAAGAATGCTTTGAGGTTATATGGGTAGTGGCACTTATTTTGTCTGTAACAGAGCAAAATAAACACAATAAGTGCTGTGTATGCAAGTTGTTTTGAAACAGTGTTTCTTTGCACACATCCGAAAGGACCGAAAATGTCGTATGCAGTTGTCGGCTGCTACATAAAAAAGTCAGAGGGGTTCGTTAGAAAGTGGGCGAAATGTTATAACGGAACAAAAAGTGTTGACGACTTTCCGGAACGTGGCACCCGGCGCTCAATGACGAAAAAGTACTATCGTCCTTTTCAGTTCTCATCAAGAGCTATCACAAAGCTATCATCTCAGCTATCATCAAAATATTTGAGAAAAATCTTGGGTGCTCGTTACGGCGAGCGAACAATCTTTTATTAAAAAAGGGTGTAGATGTGAGCCTTAATACTATTAGACGACGATTGCTTGATTCCAAATACTGCTGGCAGCCCACAAAGTTAAAGCCTTTTTTGAGCGAAAAACACGTAGAAAAACGGCTGGAATGAACAAAAGCTAATATTGACCATGATTTTGATTGACCAATGTAATCTTCACTGATGAATCATTCTTTTGGGCCTGGATTCCCAAAAGGTATGCGTGGTCAACGCGTCACGATCCCCTTGTTTAATGTACAGTATACGTGTGGGGATGCTTCTGTAAACAGGGATTTGGTACTTTATATCTCTTCACGGTCAACCTGAATGCACAGAAAATAAACATGATTTATCATAAGTGTTTATTAAAGTCTGCTCAAAGATGGTTTGGCTCAGATAATAGTTCATAGGTGCTTTGAAAAGACAACGATCCAAAACACCGAAATCGTGCGTGTACAGAGTGTAGACGTGAAAATGGCATCACTACAATGGATTGGCCTTCCCAATCACCTGATGTCAATCTCATCGAAAACGTGTGGGCAGTCATGAAGGTGAAATTCAGGGAAAAGAAGATTTTTCATTTAAAGCAACTCGTTCGTCATATACGGGAAATCTGGAAATCTCTTCCTGAGACAATCAAAAATGACTGAAAATCTCGTGAAAAGTATGCTACGACGCTGCCAGGCCATAACAATAACAAAGGAGATTGGGCAATTTACTAAGTAAACGCATTTTAGTTTATTGAATTTATTAATAGATCTAAATGAAATTTTAAAAAACTATATATTTTTTTAGGAAAAACAGTCCGTATGCTCTTGTGGAACAGACTGTATATGAAAAAAGATGATAAGAATTTAATCATTGAAACATACATTATAAAAAAAAGACGAAAATTCGCTTACGCGTATGAATCAATGGTATATATTTTTAAAATGCTGTCCATCGCAATCAACGCAAAACTGCGATCGTTTTCGAAAACTTTGAAATATAGAAAATATAATTAACGTGGATATAGAAATGCTGCGAGAGCATTTTTTAATACTTTCCATTAGCTCTGCAGTGTTTTAAGATTGTTGACGGCGTAACATTTGTCTTTAAGATAATCCCAGAAAAAAAGTCATATGGGTTTAATTACTCTGTTACCGTACACTTTATGTATTGATTCGAACACTTCCTGAGTCCAGTGTGGAGCCGCACCATCCTGCATAAAATGAAATTTCTTCACCAATCCTCGTTTCTTCGCATGTGAGAAAAATTTAGTCTACAGTAATTCTTTGTAACTTTCACTGGTCACAGTTCTTTCACAAAATTGCAGGTAGATTTTAACAGAAATTGCAGTATACGCGGAGACCTTTTGAAGATGAAGAAGAATGGCAAGTGACACAGTTGGATTTTCTTGTCCTCAAAACCGAAAATTTGTTTATTTACATATACACTTAACCAAAAATGAGTTTCATCTGAAAATATTTTTTGTTTTTTATCAAGTTCGTTACTTTCAAATACGTCGATTATCGCTTTGCAAAAGTCAATTTGTTTTTCCATCGCTTTCTCCGTCAGCAACTGACGCGCTGTGATTTTTTACGGACGCAATTTAATGACGTCTCTCACAATCTTTCGAAGAGTTTCTCGCTTTAAATCCAAAGCCTTTTTCGAATTGAAGTGTTTAGATTTTCGTCAAAATATGTTCGAGCCTCAACAATTGTTTCTTCTGTTGTAACAATACGAAGTGGACCGGGTAAATCATGTCAACGATCGCTCAAAGTGCCATACATAATAAAATTATTAATAATTCTGTGAAAAAATACTGGAAAATAAATAAACTCTCA